GTCACTGTCTATTATGACGACGTCAAGTGTTGAAGTATTTCTTGGACGAGTCTGTCTGAAATTATAGTGAGGTCTGGTCATTTCGACCGACGAAGTAATAAAGGTGTGGGGAATAGTGACAGGACTGGACATTTTGAAAGGATATATTAAAGTTTCTCTAGATTTAAAGCTTCGAGGTAAGTAATTTGAAAGTACTTTTTTTTTATGGAAGGAGTGAAAATAGACAAAAGGACTTCAAGTTTATATCACAGAAGCGTGATAATTCAACAGCACGAAAGATTTGATTGGATTAATCTTTTATTTATTTTGGACAAAAAAAATTTCAGCCAATGAAAAAACTCTTTATTCAAAACCTCTTGTTCTACTATTTGAATACATTTGTTGTTAATCAAACATAAAAATATTAATTACTAATAATCTAGAGATCAATGATGAATGAATTGATAAATGTAATAATAAATTACTATTTATTATATAGAATAATTAGAAATTATTTTTTATAAATGATCATATTCAATAAGATAAAGTTTTCAAATGTATTTTTTATATTGTAATAAAAAAAAAAAGCAAACAATTAATTAATTAATTAACTAGATGATTGAAGTTGACCAAAAGAAAAATTAGAGTTTTTATTTCCAACTCTTAATATTTTTTCAAAAAATAACATAAAATAAAAAAAAAAAAATTAGGCATCGATTGAATCTTAATAATAATAACATCTTTTATATTTTAAAAATACATTGTATTTATTTTTTTATTTTATTTTATTCTTTTATTTTAATCAAATAAAATTAATAGTTAGATTACAAAAAAAGTTATAATATAATATACAACATATTTATATTGATTTTTTTTTTTTATAATAATTTCCAAAATAAACAGTTGTTCCATTTTATGTATTTGAAAACACAAAAATTATTGATCATGACATTTCATTTTCATTTTTTTTTTTTTTAAAAAAAAAAACTTTTTTGATTACTGCAAATTCTTTTTAACAAAAAAAAATAGATAAATACAGTGACTGAGTGGATATTAAAATAATGATGATGATGGTGTTGTTGTTTCTGATGTTTTTTATTTATTTTAAAAAAAAATAAATATATATACATGTACAGTGTGTATATTTTTATGAAATATTAATAAGGTGAGCCTTGACTCTCGTGACTTGCAAATAGATTACTCGCCGATTATTAATATTATTAATGTTGATGATGATCTTTAATTAAAATAATAGCACGTAACCTTATATTATGCAAGTATACAGTATGCATTCCTGTTTTAGCCATTTAAATCCCTTAGAGATCTACTAAGAATACGTAAGTCCGTTTTTATTTATCATCATGTTTCTCTTTGGTCTATTGTAATTTATTGATTTATATTAAAAATTTATCACACGATCCATTTTTTTTTTGAAATTAAACAGTAAGCTGTTGTGTACACAAAACAAAATAACCAAAGTCATTCCATGCACACCTGATGCTAGACATAAAAGGTCACGATCCATACGACAAGTGATGGTCGCTCCAGTGCGTATGACTACGCAGAGTATGTGGTATAAAATCCTGGTCACGTTATCTCTAATCAGATGAAAAATTACACATATTCACATGACTTCAAATAATCAATCTGAATTTTTTATAAAAGAATGAATACTCTCCCATCATCGATCGTTACCGCAAATTTTTTAAAAAATGGCATCCACAAACACCATTAATAATGGAATTGCCGATGATTCGTCAAATCCTGTTGCATCTTACACGGTATCCGACTTATTGACAAAAACTTCATCGTTGGTGGATACGTGTGATTACGAATTAGCTTTGCAATTCGCTAGACGGGCATTGAGCATGGATGATAAAAATGTCGGTGTTTTGGAGATTCTGGGAACGGTGGAAATTGAAATGGGAATGCTCGACGAAGCTAAAGAGGTTAGTCATCATGTAACGATTGAATTGTGCATCTTGTGAGGCGAATTAGGATCTTTAGGGTGAAAACCTATGCTGAATGACGGTGAACCATCGTGACGAATGAAAATTCTTGATAATCATTTTACT